TACCGAATTGGAATATGGGAATAAAAATGTAATATTAATGGCTATTAGTTCATTTCTGCGGAATTTAAGAAACCTAAAATTAATAATATTTTGCAGTTTATGTGTGTTAGCTCAAAACTCCGAATATCTTACAATGCAATGGTACTTTGAATTCTTAGCAAAAAGGAAAGACCAAGAATTTCCCATGGAAGTGCCCGGTCAAACGCTGCGGAAAATCTCAGAGGCCCTCATAAATCTGTCGACCATCTATGCGGGTTCCAGTTTTTAGTTTTGAGTTTTAAGTTCTGAGTTCGGGGCTCTGCTTCTTTATCAGCTGCACAGTTTCCGATGCCAGAATGCGAGGAGCAGATATCACACAGCTGCTCGCGGCATTCCACGCACATGTCCACGATCCCATTGAGATTTCCTCCGTTTCGGTTTCTGGGGTTGAATCGAGGAGAAGGCGGTGGCCATGTGCTGCTCCTCACTTCGTCGACGGCGGCGCTGCATGCCATAAAAATGATGAGGCGAACTGGTTGCCAGCCGTCGATTGAAGTCGCTGTTTGTCCTCGGTTAGTTCCCCCTATAAGATGCTGATAACTGCCAAATGTTGCAAAAACAGCTACGTAAACAAAACATTGTGAAACTATATCCCCCAAATTTCCCTATTTTCTGAAATTAATTTATTGATGTTTGTTTCAATTTATTGGTATGCGTATATTTCATATTTTAATAAAAAGATCCTAACTAGCTTTTGTTACTGATAAATTAATTTAGATACTATAGGTCATGTAAACTTTTTCATGATGAAACTACAATTTATCCTCCAAAATAATTCTGAAAATCCTATGTGACCCTTTAAAACTAAAGTATTTCCCCGCCTCGACCCTTAAAACCTGGCATATGTGCCGGGGAAATAGCCAAGCTGGCACTTCTGATGCCCGAGTGCCGGCTGCATTGCATGTGTGATCGGGAATCGGGGATATGGGTATGGATATGGGATCTGGGATCTGAGATCTGGAATCGGGGCGAGGAAAGCGCACACATGTGAGTAAGTGACGTGGACAGCTGGGAGGATGAGGATGAGGCCTTGCCGAGGGGGTTGGGCGGCAAAGTAGGGAGGGTGAAGGGCAGGGAGGGCAGAAACAAAGGCCAGCCGAACCGAAACGTCCTTGCCCCGCAGCAGGAAGCTACATATGCGCAATCATAAAAAACTTGAACGATCGACACGTGTGCAGAATTCCCGCGCGCTCTCGCGCAAAAAGAAAGGAAATGTGGAAATGTATCGCACATGTTGGATGGATGCGGAGCATTCCCAGACCAAGGTATCGATGCAGGCGAAATCCCCCAGGCAGCTGTTCCAAGCTGGCCACCAAAAACGGTAGCCGTGCAACTTTCTATGCCCATGCAATCAAATCGCAAACGCACCGCCGAGCGAGGGAAGTTGGGATGTGGAAGTTGAGGCACTGCAGCCAAGCAGCTGCCAATGCCGACGGACTGCCTGACTTTCATTAGCATTTCTAACGGCCAACGCAGCTGGCAAAGACGAACTCCAATCCACTCCGAAAACCAACAGATGCAGCGCCTCCGAGTAAGTAGCCCCTGGATGCCGAACACTGGACGCGAACTGGATCGATCCGAGACGACATCGTCGGGCGGCCGGGACAAGGTGAAATCCGTCCAGGTGCACTCGGGGAAAATGGGGGAATTAATAAGAACTAGAAGGTAACTATTTTATTTTATACATATATTTTATTCATTATAGCATTGTTTACCAAACTAAGCCTAACATAGGAAATAATAGGATGGGATTTATTTCAAAAAGGTGTTGGCATGATATTGTTATACAGATCGTATTTATATGGTATATCACATCATAGGGCCCGACATTGCAAGATTACTTGCAGTGATATCAAAGTATTTAGCATGCAATCAGATTAAAAAAAATTTGAGCCTTAATTTCGATGTAATTTCTTGAAATATTTTATGTTTTTTTGCAGTGCATTACAGCAGCTGTACATTTTGCCCGCTGGCTGCATTTGCGTTGGAAATATTTTTAATTGCTATTGGAATTTTTCCATGTGCGCCTCGTGGACATCTTTCATTCGCTTGCGGATGGAGGACTGCGAGTTGCGGATTGCGGATTCGTGTGGGTTGCCAGTTGCACGTTGCAAGTGGCATGTTGCCAGTTGGCGAACTGTATCGCAGCAGTTGGTCTGCAACAGTTGCAGCCTTTGCCGCAACATCAACTGCGTGACAATTGTCCAGCCGATACTGAATTCAATTAAAGCCGCTGGCCAAAAGCAAGAGCTGACCGTTTGACATAATAACTGGCCACATTAGCAGCAATTGGCAGTGGTCAATTAACTTTTTTCTCCACATTTTCGCTCTCCTTTCCCCGATTTCCCCGTTTTTCGCCACGCTTGTCGCGCTTTTCCTTATTTGCAACATTCATTGACACCTGCAATCGTGGAGTTGCAGGTTGCTGGAGTTGCTGGTGTTGCTGGTGTTGCTGTCGTGTTCATGTTGCTGATTGGCAATCAATTTGTTGTCCGTTTTTATGATTCGCAGTGCGTCAATGTCAACTAACTGTTTTTCTACCGCTCTCTGGCAGTTGGTAATTTATTATGTTGTTGCAGTTGCAATTAACACGGCAGCAACATGAGGCCATAACAATGGCCAAAAGCAAATGTTGCATGTGGGAGTTGCAGCAGTGGTTGTTGCTGTTGCGATGTTGCTGCTGACGATTCGCGGCGCGTGTTGCAGACGTGAAACGTCTACCAGTCTACCAATCTACCAGTTTTCAAGTCAGCCCAACCACAGCCAACAGCCAAACCCAGACATATGGCCAAGATAAGCGGCATAATTATGCAAATTTGTTATAACAATCAGCGGCAACCACGGCAACAGCAACATTTTATGGCCAGCGTTAAATGCCGTCAACACCGATTGCAATTGCCATTTATGGGCGTTAGAATATAAGTTTAGTACATAATCACTTGTGATAGTTCTTATTTATTTGCTCATACTTAAATACCCGTCAGCTCAAGCATTTTCTTCCATTTCACTGAGCTCTTCTAGGACTCGAACAAAGCCTTCATAAATCGCCTTGGGCCATAATAAACTTAAAAACCTGCATCGGGGAAAATTTGAATACAAGCATTGACAATTGACGGAGTCTGTCGGGAGACATTGGGTAGCAACAAATCAATTGCAGTAGCAGAAACAATCGCATTCATTTGGCTGCATACATTCGGAAAAAATTTGAAGTCAAAACTTTGGTTTTTAAAGAAAACTAGATACAAAATAAAAAACAACAAGGTGCTTGAAATAAACTTTAATTTAGTAATAAGATTTAGTAATGGAATACCTTTCTAACTTAGATTCAACATACCCATGATATAAGAAGATCAATAATCATGAATAATATTACAAAAAAGAGTGATCTATAAGTTAATTTAAAAAGTGTTGGTTGTTTTGATTTTGGTAAATTCTTCAATAACCGCGAATTCTTTAGGACAAGAGGATTAAGCAGACACTTCATTTAGAAATTAAAGTTTTTAGTTTATTTTATTTTCTGAGTACCTTTAGTGTTCAGATGAATTAAAAACAAAAAATTTTGAAGGAAATGAAAACCTTTTAAGGTATTTTTTCCGAGTGCCTTGGTATTCAGATTCCTTAGTGGCTAGGCCTCGGCCTCTGTTCTCCATTCTGGCTGGTGACTACGCATGCATAAATGCCTTTATAATCATTTCGTTGAACAAAATTTAGACGTCACTTGGCTGTCAGTTGGGGTTTGATCGCCTGACGAGTTGGACATGTGGAAGCAACAGGAGCAACAACATCCCAGATCCGAGATCGGAGACCGGAGAGACAGGGCACCAGATCATGTCCATATTTGCATTTTTGAAATGACACATGGAAATTTTCGTTGTTTTGCCTTTTGAAAGCGAGCGGCCAACAGATTGACAGCAGCTGCACTGTTGACAACAGCAACATGAGACACACAGCAGCAGCAACAATGGCCTGGAATGGTGAGCGAAAGTCGTGCGCAAATCCGATCAGGCGACAGCATATGGATAGGCTGCATGGGATATGTATGCTATATGGTCATATCCAGAGATAATTGCTGTCGCATATCTTCCACGTCCACTTGTTGTCGCCGACGAACAGCAGCAGCAGCAGCAGCATCAGCATTGCAGACACAGCAGCAACATGTGTTGCTCCCGGCTTTTGGCCGGCTGCCTTTTTGGATTATGGCAGCGGCAACATGTTGCAACTTCAGTCGGCCGCCCGGCTGTGCAAATATTTGGAACTCCCCCGATAGGAAGTTCCATTTGGGGCTAGTAATCATCTTCAGCACATGTTTTCCATGCAATCCGCTCCACTGTGCGACCAAGTTCAATGCCTGGCTCTCCAGCAACACCAACAACAGCAACAGCAACATCAGCAATAACAGCCCGCGAGAACCAAAAGCGAAAAGCAAATACATATGTAAATACAAAATGCGAGTGAAAAGCGTTCCAGAGAGAGATAATATATTTAAATGATATAGGCACTTGATAAATGCCCTGTAAAAATAAAACCATTACACTGGGTGATATTGGTAGTTTTATCATTTTTTAAAACACCCGGTATTCATTTATGTTATTATTATTTATAGCAGATGCATTTTTAACTATAACTGTTTAAGTATAACCAGTTATACTAAAAATACTGTTTTAATAAGTGATATTATAATAGTACTTTATCATTTGACAACTCATGAAATCATGATAACTTTTAGTCTTATGTCAGAATTTTAATCGATTTGTATTAAGGGCCACCAATATTTATATGAAGGTTACAATTCTGCGAAGCCTGTTTGAAAACAAAAACCTTTTTGTGGTCACGAAACATTGAGCACACAAACCTTCTCCACATTCTCCGAGAGAACTCCCGGCGAGAGCGTAGGTACAGACCGAGAGAGACGCCTGCTCTCCTGCGCGAAGGCAATTGCCTCTTTTGTGTGCTTAAAATTCCGCATTTTGCTCAGTTTGCCGATAAAGACGCAGCCACATGGACATGCACAGGCTGATCTACGAGGTGAAGCAGCGCCCCGCTCTCTGGGACTCGACGCACCCGGACCACGCCAACCGCCCGGAGACTCAGCGCCTCTGGAACTTGGTGGCGGAGAACGTGGGGCTCGGCGGTGAGTGCACTGCGAGAAATTACCCACCTACTAGTTGCTTGTTTCATTATATGTCAACATATATTCATATGTCAAGATTATCCTATATATTTATAGCATAATATTATTTTATTATATATAGTTGCTTTTTTCATTATTATATTATTAACGAAAACTTTCAAGATTATCCTATATATTTACAGGATAATATTATGTTATAGATAGTTTAGGCTAGCTCCTATTAAGTCTTTTATTTTTATCTTAATCTAATTTATTCATACCTAAATATTGAAATCTTTTTTGATCAAGTAACATTTAATCTTCTGAATACCCCTTATCTTTTCATACTTTTTAAACCAGAAGAATGCTCCCAATTTTCTCTCGGTGCACCCTATAATGTCTACGCTCTCTCATTCTCAATCTCGTTATTGCCTCTCTTTCTTTTCAGTGGATGTGTGTCGCGGCAAATGGAAAAATCTGCGATGCAGTTATCGCCGCAAGAACCGGCGAAGTGGCGTCTTGAAGCTCCAGGCGGCGCCCTCGCCGGGTCACCAGTGGTCATATGCAGAGGCCATGGCCTTCCTGGACGGGCAGCGGTTATCAAAGGACGACAGGGACAGCAGCAATAACGAGGAGGAGGAGGCGGAGGGGGCCATGAAGACGGAACCCGAGACCATAATATCGACCTTTAAGAGCGAGCAAACCTCGGTTGCCGACGAAATGGAGGCGGACAACGATGCCCTGATGCGGGAGTTCCAGGATGTGTCCACCCCGCAGGCCCTGCGGCGGCTCTCCGAGAGCATTTCCCTGGCCAGTGCGGCGGCGGAGGAGCAGCTGCCCCTGCCCCAGCCCCCCACTGCCTCCAGACTTGGCCCCGGACTGACCATAAATCCGCATTTGCACCAGGGAAGTGCCATGGCGGCCGCGGCGGCCAGCAGTTGCCACTGCGCCAAGCGGGTGGACGAGCAGGTCAACTTCCTCGAGAGCCTGGAACGCGAGGAGCAGCAGCTGATGCAGTCCACCAGCCAGGACTTGGCCAGGTGCAAGAGTGTCATCCATGTGGGCGACTCTGATTATAACTATCTCGTCAGCTTTGTGCCGCTGATGAAGCAAATGACGCCCATCCAGAATGTATTCTTTAGGGCCAAAATGGGGGAGCTTCTGCTGCAGACAATGCAACAGCCGCCGGTGCAGCAGCAACCGATGCAACAGCAGCAGCAGCCACAGCCAATGCAATTGCAACAGCAACAGCAGCAGCAACAGCAGCAACTGCAGCTGCAGCCCTCGCAAATGTTGTTGAACCAACAGCAAATGGCCTTGGATCAGGCGCAAGTGAGCACCAGCTCCACAAATTGGAACTGAATCGGGGATTGGAACTGAACAAATGAGATATATGTACGTGTAAGCCCTATAATGTATACGAACTGACGAAGAGAGCCCCACTGTGCGCATGTCCAGTGCACAGTGGGCGGCTTTCGGAGAGATTATTTTATAATTAAACATTGCATACGAATAAATAAAGCGTACTCAAATGATTTTATAAAAAGACAATACCTAAAATTGTTTAGTTATTTTTAATAACTTGGACAGTTGTTCTTGTTTTATAGTTAATAATGAAACTCATAAATTACACAGTTGATCAGCTGAATGTGTAAATTTTTAGATTTTTTTGCCACATAGAAGCCCGTTTTTGAAATGCCAGTTTAAGAACAGTACTTCTAAATACTCTTACAGTCCTGTCGAAGTGTAAAATTACCTAGACTGGTAAGTAGGTATATTACCTTAAAAACACTATTAAACCGCTTGCAATTCAGGGAAAATAGTTTATCGAAATGGCCATTAAGGAAGTGTGGATCACGCTAACCAAAGACATTGATCCAAATAGCAATGCCTTGATGCAGAATGCCCAGAACAGTTCCCTAAGCAACGCCACAACCTCTTCAGGACTGGCAAAGGCTATGCTTCAGAAACTCGATAATATAAATAAGGCGGTGAAGGTCCTAAAAACACAAAAGGATAAAAACGCACCTCAAAACAAGTAAAAATTTAACGGGAGTGATTTAAACTTTTGTTTGTTCATACTCGTAACAGTGAATTATGTAATATAGTTATAAATTAATTTTTATTCATGGACATCTTGTGTGCTGTATGTTGTGCGTGTGTCGGCAAAGGGTCGGCAGACAATAAGTCCCATGACCTCTGTTGGGTTTGAAAGGTCCGTCTGCTCGGTACCATCAGCTACACTATGTGTAACTTCAATTTGGCTTAATCATTGAGCCCTCTGCCTGCGATCAATGGACTTTAGCTTCGCTTGCGCTGCAGAGTAGACCCCAGAAGATAGTGACAATCGTGTGGGCGTTCGAGTGGATTCTGCAGCTTCGACTTCAGCTTTTCAGCCTGGTTGCCAGCTGCAGATGCAGATGCAAGGGCATCCGACGTAATCTCGCCTCCGGCTGCCCACACATGTCCGCTTTTAAGCGGGGAACCTCAATAAATTACTGCACACTAGAATGAACCCCATCGTCGACTGTGGTGGTCCTGCTCTTTCCGTCCGTCCGTCCGTTCGCTGTCCGTCCGTGTGTTAAAAGCCAAGTCCAAAGTTAACATGACCATAAAAAAGAACGCGGCTACAAAAGCAAACAGAGGACGGGGAATAGGTCGCTCGAGAAATCAACGCAGCTGCGGATGACGAATCGAAATTGACATTGAACCGCGGCTGGAGCCTCCAGAGAACCGGGGCTACGGGGTTACGAGGGGAAACTCTGGGGAGGCGACAACGATCGACTTGGCTTTGCTCTTGCTTTTGCTTTTGCCTCGGCGACGTCATGTGTTTGAACTTGTTGCAGCCAACTCGGCAGTTGGGGCATGGGCATGGGCATGGCTCTTGGTTGTTGGCTCTTGGCCTGCCCCATGAATTCCAATTTCAATAGCAGCCAGCCACAGAGGTTAGCAGTGCACTAAGGAAAAATATTTGACTCAAAATATAAAGACACAAAACCCCTTTTCTTGAATTAGTGCGTTTTCTAAACTACAACTATAAAACAAGGGACTGATCTTTAGGCCCTACTTGAAAAATGGCTTGACACAAAAATCTGAAATCAAAAACTATAATTCCAAAATAATTTGTAGGCGCTTACTAAAAGGAAGTAGTCCCAAATAAATATTCCACAGATCTTAGTTACTTTTAGATCATCATTTCTGGCAGTGTGCAAAGCGTTCGGAAAACAGTTTAAGGTGTGTTCTTGAGCTTGAAAGCCGTCGAGCCCACAGTGGCAGTTACCGATTCCGATTCCAGTGATTGGGAACAGTTGGGGCTGGGGTGTTGGGGAGCTGGGCAGAAAGGATTGGCGATTGCAGGGGCGGGGGCGCAATTAACGGCAGCCAAAAGAAAAACATTTGCAAATCGAATGCAAATTGACATTTGTCACTCGAACGTGCCCATGGCCAATGCATTGAATTCCATGCTGCCGAACATTCCAAATTACATTTCCATTCGCTCTTGGCCACTGGACTTTTGAAACCGGGCCAGAAAAGTGAGTGAAAGAGGAATAAGAACAATAAGATACCCGAATCGGTGATGGATTTTCGCACCTCACCTCTCGAAGTGTTAATGATGCGGATGGCCAAGAAGTGCATTTACCTGTTGGCCTTTGTTCTTTAGCCGCCGTTACGGCAAATGCAAATTTCCCTCTATTCAGCTCACGTCAAATATTTGTAGAGATTTCCATGAGAGAGTGCATTCTGGCACACAGGTGTTAAGTCTCGCAGGCCATTGTTAATGCAGCTCATCCAGCTCCTCATCCTCATTTCGTAGAGCCACCGCTAGCATGTTGCGGAATTTCCAGAATTCGCTTAATTCATCACTCGGGGGTATGAAAGGGTTTCGCATTCCGGCCAAAAATCCCAGCGCTAACACCTTTTCTGCCTAGTTTTGCATGGCCAACAGGTGCGAAAGCCATAAATGGTGCAGATGTTCAATGGATTGGTATTATAAAAGGGTGGCAACAAAGGGATTGGGCAACATTTGGCCAGGCAATTGGCTATGCTGACTGTTTTTTGTACTAGTAATCCAGTTCAGGAAGCCAGTTGTTCATTTTCGACCTTGTTTCCAAGAATATTTAAATATACGTTTCTTTTTTGGACATTGAGCTTCATTTATTTATGACCACTTCGCGTATTATTATAGCAACATATGGTAGATGCATAAAAAAGATTATAACAGACTTCAAAATAGGGTACCAGTAATATTAACTCCAATATCAAACTTAATTTTAAGCCCTACAATGATTCAAATATAAGGGTTGTACATAGCAACGAATGTAATAGCTATTATTTTGTTTTATATATCAAAGTTCAAAAGTGCAGTTCTGATATTTATCAACTCTCTATTGAATGAATATAATTATTTCGCTCTTGTTTTTATACGGTCTTACAAGTTTGAAAGCCATTCCCCAGAACCTTCCAGTCAGATTTGCAACTCTATAATTTAGCCTCATCATTAATTTGGCTTTTGTGGCCGGCCCGAACGGACTTTTACCTTAACCATAATAAATGCCCGTGACACCTCTTAAGAAGATTATGCACATAAGGTTGCACATTATCCTCGCTCCCAAGATGACTCCAATCCCCTGGAAAATGCTGCTTCTTTCGGAGTCGGCTCCCATATTCAATGGGCCATAATCTCGATCCGTTTGGGCCGCCACAAACCAATCAAAACATGCACTTAACATTTGGCTGAACCCCCGGCCATCTACGTACATCGTTAACACACAAAAAATAAGTGTGTAGTTGCTGAGTCACTCGTACGTGGTCCAAAAATGTACCGCCCTCATCAGAGCCCCCTGGCCAGGCCCCTCGACTGTCCGAATGTTTTCTATATCTCTTCCATTGGGCCGGCAAGGCAAGCAATCAAGCGGAGTCAGTGGGGCCTTTGTGTTGCCATTGCCTCGGAGCAATCAATGCTGTATGACAGCTAGGTTAACTGCCACCTCCGGCCCCCGTCTACAAGGCCCCTCGCCATCCCCAGCCCCATCCCCATCCACATCACATCTGCAATCCTACGCGCTTCCTCTTGATTTCGTTAAGTAAATCTCCAACTTGGCCAAGCGGCTGGGCAACCTTCACGTGCTCGTCGTCGCCGGCGTCTCACAGTTTGGGTCACACTTATAGTGTGGTTAATTAAAGATATAATATGAATAAGGTTTGGTTAAAATATAACCATAATATTATTTTTGAACAAAAACGTAATAATCCACGATTTTGTTGTTCATTGGATAGCCTTGATTTCCATATGGTGGTTCTTTGGTGGTCTTTTGGGTCAAACCTTTTTAAACATTATTATTTCCGAATTTCGGTTTTATATTTAAGATTTTTAGGTTCTGGTACTTTTCCTACAAACTTGATCTATGGTTTCGCCCCCCATTGTAGATGTTGTTGGCGTCGCCAGCTGTCCGTCCGCGGTTTCCATGGCTCGCAAGTCGCGAGATCATGATCATGGCTTTAACTGGCTCTTGGATCTTGGCTGTTGGCTCTTGGCTCTTGGAATAGTACCAGTACGAGTTCGAGTATTTTTAACTCTCCTTTGGACTTGGACGCGGCTGCGTTTATTGTTGTCTCGTTGGGATTCTCGTCCCTCTACCTTCGCCTCGCCACAGCGTCTGTTTTCTTTTTAAACGCTTTTAAACACCTGAGAAACTTGCTTTTTAATGTGCGCACATGTGTGCGGTGCTCGCCACGACGTGGAGATGATGATGATGATGACGAAGATCGCCTCGCTCCTTCTGGATGGGCCCCCATCCACTTCCACATCCACTTCCAACTGCGGCTTCAACTGCCTCGTTTGTGGCGCGATGATGAAGCAAATATAACAAATCTCAGAGTTATCAACCGACTCAACCGACGACCGTCGCACAGCTGAGTAAATCAATTGACGCGCTCAATTCCTGGAATTTTTTGTCGCCGCTCTTTGAGAGCTCCTTCTCGGCCCTGATCTTCTATCTTTGGCTCCGTGGAGCTCTGTGGAGCTATTCCGAATTGGATGCATTTACCTCATTTGCATAAGGTGGACGGGGGAGTGTAATAAAAGGTTGGATGGAGAGTAAGCTCTTATATCTAGTATTTTTATGCATTTTAAAAATTTGAAAATATCTATCCAAAATTTAAAACCCTTGTGTAAGTATTATATTATACTGAGACTTAACAAAGCGATCCAATATGTTAGTAGGTACATTACGATCTTATGTACATTCATTTAAGAACGTTTTAATAATGATCTCAAGTAAATCGTATAAAAACAAATACGCAGGTAATTAATACAAATCTAAGAAGTACTTTCTAAAAATTCCCTCTGATCCTAGAATCTGAAAAACTGGGATTGTATAAGTATTTTCTTAATACTCTGTAAAACAGTTATGGTCGACACTGCGGCCTATAAAGTACCAATGATTGGGTAGCAATTAGTAGAATTTTTCCCCGCCCTGGAATAAATTCCAGCCAGCTCCCAGACCTTTCCTCACCAGTGTAAAATTACCGACCGACAAGGACGTTAATGGTC